TTGAGCGTATAGAAATTGACTTGCCAGAAGATGAAACTACCAAATTCCGTCAATCTAGGGAGGCCCATTGGATTGAGACATTGAATACAGCAAGACCTATAGGACTAAATATTCATCATAATGTAGGCATAGCACCCTTTGTTGTCCCGTTTAATACAACCAGCAATCGAGCAAGCAAGATAGTTCATGCCCACTATAAGAGCCTTCAAGAGAAATTCCCCCATGTCTATAAGCAGAAAATTATAGTTGCATATTCAAAAAATAAGAACTTAAATTATAATATTGTTCATAATAAACTAAAAACAATCAGTACATAACAGATACTATACTTCTCGCCCATCGGGCGAGTTATTTTTTCTAATTTCAGATCAGAATAAGAACAGAAGAAAACCCAATATCAAGACCCTTAATCCTAATTTCTAAATAAAGTGTCTGCTCCACCCTAGGCCTGTACATTTGGGAGAATCAAACCCTCCCTTCCCCGAAACCTAATCCCAATTAAGCGTATAGAAATTGACTTGCCCGAAGATGAAACTACCAAATTCCGCCAATCTAGGGAGGCCCATTGGATTGAGACATTGAATACAGCAAGACCTATAGGACTAAATATTCATCATAATGTAGGCATAGCACCCTTTGTTGTCCCGTTTAATACAACAAGCAATCGAGCAAGCAAGATAGTTCATGCCTAATATAAGAGCCTTCAAGAGAAATTCCCCCATGTCTATAAGCAGAAAATGATAATTGCATATTCAAAAAATAAGAACTTAAATGATAATATTGTTCATAGTAAACTTAAAACAATCAGTACATAACAGATACTATACTTCTCGCCCATCGGGCGAGTTATTTTTTCTAATTTCAGATCAGAATAAGAACAGAAAAAAACCCAATATCAAGACCCTTAATCCTAATTTCTAAATAAAGTGTCTGCTCCACCCTAGGCCTGTACCTTTGGGAGAATCAAACCCTCCCTTCCCCGAAATTTAAAACGTTTAGTTGACTGAGTTGACGAACCATTTTCAAAAATTCCTGGTAGCAACTGAAGGGAACTTCGGGTAGAAATATCATCAGAAACAAAATAATAACGACCAGGAAAAGGACTTGGAACTTTCACCGAACATGAGATACATGTAGATGAATTAGGGGCTATCTTCACACTTCTAAAAGTACGAAGTGGATAAATTTTATCAGTACCATTCTTTTGCCTACCAAGAACAGAAACAGCTGTCCTCCAAGCTGAATGAAGGGCTTTAACATCTTCATCTGGAATTCTATCAAGAACAGTAGTTCCAATTATAAAATGTACATGTGTGCTTACTGTAGAAGAAGGGTAAAAACAAGAAATAATGCTGAAATAGAAAAATTAGAAAATGGAATATGAAAAGGAACCTCAATATATCCAGTATAACATAATCTATGACCACCTGCTAAACGTACCTCTAATAAGTCATCTAAAGGGTATAAAGGGAATGATGAGAGAAATGAATAATAACAGTGACTATCAACAGTTAATACCATTGACCCAGTGTCCAACATAACCATTCCTCGACACTTGAAAAAGGATAATATTTCGAAAACCGGTTTGTGTCAATTGCGTAAGTTTTTGTTTTACTTGTTATAATTCTTCACAACATTGTTAGCGTTATTTATCACCTAAATATATATTTTTGCATTTTTCTTCATAACTTTCATCTTACTTTATATATCCCCAAACCCAGTTTGACTTATTTGCATAATTTGATCCCCACATTTTCACGCTAGCATATACAGTTTCCTCCTGTTACATCCGCTGTACATTCCCTTTCTAACCTCAAGTTATTTTCATTATGCTCCCCAACTACAACAACCACTGGCAAGAAGCCAGACATAGAAACACTAATCGTCAACCAAACCAATATCACGTACCCTACAACTGCCCTGTCTTCCATCGACCTCTACCACCTACCAATCGCCGACCATCAACCAACCCATCCAGCTATATCCCACCCCATCGCCGACCTACCTACAACACAGCCTACTAATCAAGAGGTAACCATCGACCTGACCAACAACTGAAACGACTACCAGCCCACAGACGCCAACCAGTCCCCACTCATAAGGAGCAAGAACCCTTTGTGAAGGTGTTCTTCCAAGTTTTGCAGTGCCTCCATCATTTGGCAATCCTTCCCTTAGACAGCAAGGCCAACCAGCGTTTACCTTCAAACGCAAAGTCTCTGAGTTGGATAGTTTTATCCGTCCAGCAATGAGAACATCAGCTGTTGACGCGAATATTAGATCCCTCAATCGGACATGGCTCTGTAAGGTTACGCAGGTCCTGATCGACCATTACCAAACCACACTTCAAGAGAAGCTGACCACCATTCGTACCAAGTCTTTATCATCACCTGCCGTCGACCGCATCGTTTCTCATGCCCTGTCCTGGGCCCGTCGCTCCTCTGGGAAACGTCTCACTCAAGCTGTAATCACCAAGTTCTACCAAACAATCAACGAAACAAAAACCAGAGTAACCATATCTCTACCAACTGAAATGGACACTACACCTGCACCATCTAGAGCCACGACGCTGCCGAACCAAACCCCTAAACGAGCCCGAAGTTCACCTACTCCTAGTCCAGCAGACATAGGTAAACGCTCTCGTAGAGAGGGCACTCCCCTTCTCTTTTCACTTTCAGACTCGTCTTCCCCTTCCACACCATCTGAATCTTCACCACTTTATCCAGGATCCGCCAACCTTTCTTCCTTCTGTGCGTTTT